ACGATATAATGGGAATTATTTTCAAATCATGGCAAGAAAAATAATAATATAACAATTTGAATATTGCTACATTTTTTATGTTATCAATGAATGAAGACTTGATAAGTGGAGCTTATATTATTCATAAAATTATTCAGACCAGACGATAGATCTTGTATAGATATTGTCCATACTTTATAAACATATCTACAAGGTCAATGTTTATTGGAATATTGATGGACAATATGGTATAGCTACCAAACAGGTGACATTTTCAGTCAAAATTGCAAATCAGTACACAGAGAAAAAAGTCTTAAAGAAATAGTTATTAATTATGTTTTGGATTCCTAAAATCATGTTTGAATCTTGTATTTTTGGCTATGTAAAATATCATATTTAGACTGAACAGTTGTTAGTGTTTAAAAAATTAAGCTAGGGACAGTAATTATTTATTTTTATTTTTTAATATTGGCTGGAATAAAAATCTTTGTTATTTAAGTATCTTGACTCTTAGAATCTTTTGTACCGTAAAGATTCTCTCTATTTCTGATGAGAACCCCCAAGTTCAATACCATATTAAAGAACAAAATAAAATTAAGCATAATTATATGGTTAGTCTAGTTTTAATATCAGTATTTCTCAAACAAAGCATAGGTAACAGGAATAATTTAATTTTTGCAACATGGTTGTATTTTCACTATAAGCATTTCACATAATTAATAAATAGATCAGAAGATTTATTACACATAAAAATGTTATACACATTGAATAGCTTTAATAGCAAGCAAGCTTTCTAGTTATTTAAAAACTGAATACTATCCAAATTAACTGGCACCAAGTGATAAAAACTGTGCTATTAATATTTTAGAGTAAGTATGACTTAAAAAAACAAGACAGCTGTAAGGTTTGAATAGTAATTGAAAATGGGTTAAAGTGTTTACATGAACCAACACTGTAAAACACTGTGTTCACACTGTAGATAAAACCACACAAAAAGCCATGGTTTCATGTATTATTAGTATAATTTCAGTCATCGAAAAAATTAAAATAATAATCCAGGATAAGTAACTCTAGTAAAATACAAAAATAATATGAGTTGTTGTGTGGCTTAGTTTATGTTAACCTAAAAGTATAGATACCGAATTACATTTAAGACAGGGTTTAAAGAAAATTTTAGAGGTTTATAGTTAACATGTGGGCTAAATAAACGTGAGATTTATGCCCCAGAGAGTAATGAAGAGTGGTAATTCAGTCCATTTGTTGACCTCTTGATTACTCTTAACTGAGGGGCTGTTAAAACTTTGGATGTATATAAAGTCAAACATTGTATACGTTAATGAGTGCATTATTATGATCAAGTTTAATTTACAAAACCTGTTGGAAACCTTCATTACTTCTTTATTTTTTTTACCTTGAAAAAGTTTTTTTAGCAAAAAATTAAAATACTCTATTAATAAATATTTATTTATTTATATTATAAGTATTGGGTTTTATTCCTAAATTTTTAAATTAAAGCCCAAAAGGGCAAAATAACCTTGTTATGAATTTATTTAGTCTTAAAAAGATACAGTATAGTAATTGACATTGTCAGTATTATTGTAAAAGATATAAGATGCAATACTTATATACATACTCTACTTAAAAAATTAGACATGAAAAAATCCAAATTATAGGCTGCCCTTAATTTAACATTTAACAGGTTACCAGGTTTAAAAATATGCAAACTTAATAAACTTAAACTATAAATGACAGTGAGTCTTTCTTAAAAAAGGCTAATGGTTATCACGGGTGTAACAATAAACATAGAGGGACAAAATATACAGGGTGGTAAAAAAGTCCCTGGACAGTTAAATATTTTAAAAAATAATGCAGATAGAGCTACAATACTTGGTACAACGTTACAGGGCATAAAACTCTATTTTAACACATATTCAGTGATCCAATAACTCTTCAGGGGGACGGCCCATAAGGAGTCGGAAGAAAATCTTAAATGGAAGCATAGGTCAATATGCACATCAAATTAAAGGTCTTTTTTAGTAGAATACAATGCCGCAAACCGCACTTCAAAAGGTTGATCCTGCGCAAAATGACAGTTGTTCAAAGATTTCTTGAATCCGCCATTTTGAATCTTTGAACGACTGCCATTTTTTACTCAGGCATTCTTTTGAGCTTGAATTTACGGCACCGTAATCTACTAGTAAAGACCTTTAATTTGATGTGCATATCGACCTATGCTTACGTCAACAATTTTCTTCCGATTCCTAGGGCTGTGCCCCCTGAGGAGTAAGCGTATAATAACAATGTAAATTAAATGAATCTTTGAACAACTGTCCTTTTGCGCAGGATCAACCTTTTGAAGTGCGGTTTGCGGCATTGTATTCTACTAAAAAAGACCTTTAATTTGATGTGCATATTGACCTATGCTTCCATTTAAGATTTTCTTCCGACCCCTTGTGGGCCGTCCCCCTGAAGAGTTATTGGATCACTGAATATGTGTTAAAATAGAGTTTTATGCCATGTAACGTTGTACCAAGTATTGTAGCTCTATCTGCATTATTTTTTAAAATATTTAACTGTCCAGGGACTTTTTACCACCCTGTATAATTTCTATTGTTAAATCACAGATGTATATACAGGGTGAATTTTAAATGAGTTCCCCCCCTACTTTTTTCTACATTTCTTAAGATATCAACTTCGGACCACGTCAGATCATTGTAGTGTGGTAAGTACTTCATTTTGACTGAATAAACATTTTTGGCCGCCATCTTGGATCCGCCATATTGGATACAAAAATTTTTTTTCAAATATAAAGGTAGGGTTGTGACCCATTGTTTCAAACTAGAATTTTACGCTGATTACAATGCCGCAATTAGTTTTATAAAATCTTGATCCATTCTAAAGTTATGAGGACTTTTTATAACTTTATTTTTAGCCCATTTTAACATTGTGCATTTACAAACTAAGACCATAATCTCAAAATAGTGCTAGATAAAGATAAGTATACACCACCATTCATTGTCGACCTATTATCACTTGGTTATGACGGTTGTATTTTTTTTGCCGCCATCTTGGATCTGCCATTTTGAAATGTGATAAATTAATTTAAATATGAAGGTGGTGTTGTGACCCATCATTTCAGACTACTTTTTTATGCTGAATTTAATGCCGCAATCCGTTTTGCATTTTCATATTTGTTTTTTGAAATATTGTAAATTTAAGTAAGATAATTTTAATATTTCATCAAGAAAGCCTGAGAAACAAAAACGGATTGCGGCATTGAGTTCAGCATAAAAAAGTAGTTCAAAATGATGGGTCACAACACCACCTTCATTTTTAAATTAATTTATCACATCTCAAAATGGCAGATCCAAGATGGCGGCCGAAAAAAATTAATCCATCATAACCAAGTGATAATAGGTCGACAATGAATCGTGGTGTATACTTATCTTTATCTAGCACTATTTTGAGATTATGGTCTTAGTTTGTAAATGCACAATGTTAAAATGGGCTAAAAATAAAATTATAAAAAGTCCTCATAACTTTAGAATGGATCAAGATTTTTTAAAACTAATTGCGGCAGTGTAATCAGCGTAAAATTCTAGTTTGAAACAATGGGTCACAACCCTACCTTTATATTTGAAAAAAAAATTTTGTATCCAATATGGCGGATCCAAGATGGCGTCCAAAAATGTTTATTCAGTCAAAATGAAGTACTTACTACACTACAATGATCTGACGTGGTCCGAAGTTGATATCTTAAGAAATGTAGAAAAAAGTAGGGGGGGAACTCATTTAAAATTCACCCTGTATAAGGTAACAAACATATCAAAATACAGTGAACATGAAAGGTTCCACATTCAAACGTTAATTAAGGAATTTAGCTGATTGGCCTCAAAAGCTCAGACAAAAATGTTGACACATTCACTTAATAGTATGCTTACCATTATGAGTTTGTACATTTAGAAGTATAATACAAAATACGCACAATTACAATTCAGTAATGGTTTTTCAACATCGGTAATTCAACTTTACTAATTAACAATATTTTCAGTACAACAACACAGTTTCTGGTCCATGTGAAAATTTAGGTTATTATGAACATTTCTCCCTATGAATGGATAAAAATAGATAAGTACGTAAGTTCCCTATACTCTAGCTTCCTTTCATTCTCCTCATGTAATCCTTCACCTTTATCAGACTTCAAACAACCCTCATTTAATTGATACCAAACAAACACCACTATGTATGGAACCTTTGTGAGATAACTTCTGTACCCTAGTAAGTATTTCTGTACCCTATGAAAAGATGGAGGTAATACATTCTTATGTGAGGTAACATTAAACAAATCAAGTGCCCTACGTGGTATTACTTCTTGGACAAGTATTTACATCACTTCTGATAACAAGTTTAGTCAACAGAATTTTATGATACGATTTTTGTACGTTGATTCTTAGGACTCCCTGTGAAAGGCAATCAGTACATTATATTTACAAAGCCTAAGCTTGGAAAATAAAGTTGAAATACTCACAAGGTTGTTGGTTGCTTTTCAATAGATATGATAACCATTTTGAATAAATGTGGATTTTGTAAATGATTGTCAATTGTTAAAGAGATGTTTTGAGTGGTTGGAAGTTACGTACTAGTATTGACGTACATTTAAGTGATATGTAGTTGTAAATTTTAAGTTTACAATCTGTTAAGATTGTCATCTCACAATACTTTTACTAATTTTTATGATTTTCAGACCAGGTAACATGATGTTAATCCGTTTTGTACTCCTAAATTTAAATCAACAAATGTTTTGAAACCTTCAAGTTAATTTTTTCTGGGCGACTTGTATTTGTTGATGGAGAAAAGCATCTTGTGTGTCAATGTTAACCGATTGTTAAGGATAGTTAAGTAATGTTGATAAACCAATGTCAGTTGAAGAATATACCAACATATGAGGAAAGGCTAATTGGCCAACAAAACAACACACCCTGTTATCTCATGTGATTAATTTTCTTCTCTCTTCTTTTCAGGGGGACAAGAAAGGTGAGGGGGGAGGAGCCAATGAGATAGTTACCTGTGCCAACTGTGGGCCCAACCCTTGTACCCATACCACCAACAACGGGTGTGCCACAGAGGTTAGAACCAATGTCTGTATCTGTATCCCTCCTTCTAACACTTTATCTATAACACTTTGCTTTAAAGCCACCCATCGAGGTTTGGGTGCTATCTGTATTTTTTTTTATGGCTACGGCAGTGCCATTTTGAATTTTAAAATCATAAACACTTTTATGGGTCCGCCCTACCTCTGCCGTTCCGTGTAAATGCAAGGGTTTGGGGGCCCCGTGTTTCCGAAGGCTAGGGTCGATGCCATTTTGAAATTTAAAATCATTAACACTTTTAAGGGTCAACCCTACCTCTGCCGTTTCGTGTAAACGCAAGGGTTTGGGGGCCCCGTGTTTCCGAAGGCTACACTTAACGTAGAATCAAAGTTAGGGTGGAATTTTGAAGAGGATTAAATTATCTAAAGTATGGTGATTTCAATATGTTTAATATCCTACTATAAAGCCTGAAAATCTTCTTATAATGTAGACGAAAAACAGCAATTTTAAACTGCTTTAGCTTATTAAAGAATCGTTGTTGAACAATTCTAAAACCAAGGTCGTATGGATTATTCTTTGTTCTTTAAAACCCCGTTTACTGTTTTTTACTAGCATGTATGGGTAATTTACTAAGGCAGGGCCCGTGAACCCCTGTAAGTGCTTCTCGCGGCGCTGTTCAATGGCGCAACATAGCTACTGAAGCCCGAGCTGAGGTAGTGTGCACCCTTAAAGGTAAAACTGTTCAAACCACTCCATATTGTATAGACAATCCAGGGATGGAAACCACCCTTTTCACACAGAGGTCTGACAGGCTAACCACTAGGCTAGTAACACGCCTGGTTGAACGTTAAGCAGTTATTACTATACACATTCATCAACGTGTGAGTTGATTTTGATGGGTTGGATGCTAACAAGGATTGAAACTACTCATAAATTAAAATTGAGTTCATTTTCACAAGTTGCACTGATAGAGAAATTACCTTCTTCTGGTTACTTTCCCAAAAAATATTTTTCATCCTAGAATTTCAAATGTGAATTTGAAGTTGTTCAACTTGTGTTCACGTTCTATCTGAACTCCATGACTTCAACTGAATTCTTTTACTTTTGGCAAGATATTTTAACAGGCAGCATTATAGATTGTGTCTCATAATAAGCACTCCCTCGATCTTTTCATAGTTTGGGTCAATTCTATTGAAATATTATCATTTTTATTTAAAAATTACTTATTGGTGCAATTACTTGGTCAGTTTTGTATCAGATATGGAAAAATAAAAAAAATAAAATTGATATGACACTTGCCAGAGGGTATCCAGGCGTTTGGTTGCAAAAATAGCAATCTTATAGTCATCAAGATTTCTCTAAATTTCTGCTCAGTTTGATTTACATTCCATGTTCTGAAGAGGTATAATCAAATATTCTGGGGGCTTGTACTTGTGAGCCCAAACATGTGTAAGAATGTTCAAAATTGTCTAGTTTAAAGGGTATTATAAATTTCATAAATAAAAACTTCATCATTTCTCAACCCTAGATTTGACTCTGTAAAAATGTGTTTCCAAAGCAATCGTCTAAGGAATGTACATGTTCAAATACTATTACATATCAGAGAGACTCTATTTAATCTTTGGTGCCTACAGTAGGTACCATTATATACACTATATACCTATAGTAACTGTATACACTTAAAATAATTAGGGTAATTTAAATCTCACAGAAATTTCAAACATAGTAAACATAAAGTTGAGGGAAAAGACCATTAAAAACTGCACCACAGTTTTGGTAATCTCCGAAGACCAAACTTTGTTCAAGAAATAGTTATGCTGAGAGGCAAGTTTAGGTACCTAAGGCTTTATCAAACCGACTACTAGCATATTGTGTTAATACAAAACAGTGGGAAAATATAGCCCCATTCATGAATCCATACTAAAAACAATTACGATGTTTTCAACAAAGAATTACAAATTCATTCGGTTTGGACAAATAAAATATAAATTTTGTCCTCTCCAAGAATACGTCTTGTACTAAACTAGGGTTAAGAATTAAACTACCTACATACTATGTGCAAGTCAAGTTCATACAACACCACATCTTTTATACACCTTTGATATTCCTCCTTTATATGTTTTGTTCTACAGACTCACCTAAAACCGGCTCTCAGGAGCAAAATATTTCTAAATGTCAAAATTTACTGATACTTGACCACCCCAAGTTAATCAATTTGTTTAATTAAACAGTTTTATTTTAATGCCAAAAAGTTGTGTAGCTTATGCAAATTGTTTTGCTCGATGCACTGGATAGTGGATGTACTGGAGAATAGAGGGCCATGATATTCTAGATTGTGCTCTGTGCTGGTTGGTTAGTGATTTCAAGATTAGGTTTTCCCACAATGTTTTAAATATGTTTAAAGCAGGGTTGTTATTGACATGTGCATAGTATGTCTGCCGTGCTACATGTTTTCTCTGAATTATGTATCTTTTGACAATCTATCCTTAACCCCCTTTTGTTATTCTCATTTTACCTTAACTGCATTTGCGTATTTATTTTTTGGACTTTCCTGGTGAGTTTAATCCAAAATATTACAGTTTATCCTGTTAATCTATCAAAACAACTACTGGCAACAACACAGCAAGCCACTACAGTTTAGTTACCTTCAGTAACCTATTCTTTCCTTGTGGTCCAAGTTTATCCTATTAGATTGTGCACATTTCGATATGTACACCATTGTCAGATCCATAGAAGAACTATTCTTGCCTGAAGAGGTGTGTCGAAAGTTCACAAGTTCTTCAGTTGAGTCTCAACACAACACCCATCTGGCCCACCTCCATTCTGGTCTGTGCACGTGTTGTGAAAGTAAAACGATGTTAAATAACAGACGAAGAGTGTTTTATGTCTTATGAGTAATATTTTGAACTTTCAACACGCCTCTTCAGGCAAGAATTGTTCTTATACGGATCTGACGATGGTGTATGCACCGAAATGTGTGTAATCCAATTGGATAAACTTGGACCACAAGGCAACAACAGGTATAATTCAACCTTTTTATTTGCGAAAGGAAAAACCACGACAAGAAATGAAATATCTTCAGCACCTCTTTTTGTACTGCTTGTCATTCAGATTTTGGTTTTAGCTGTGATCCTAGTGGATTCTTATGAGCTAATAGAGTATAGGTATTTGAATAATCATACACATTTCTATGTAGTAACAAACAATGTTGTGAGTAGAATTACAAAGAGATTGGTTCCATTAAAATATTTGAGCAGAAACATTAATGAATTGTTTCATTGCTAAGCTAAAACTACTGTACATATATCTACTTTGCATTATGACAAAACATACTTATTTTTGTATTTATACTCAAAAGGTTGGTGACAATATAAAAACTGTTATGAGTTACAGTATTTAATTGGGTCCATAAAATTATCTTCTTTTTAAAAACTAATTTGGGTTTGTTATTTTTTGCAATAAACTTTAATTATGTAAACCCATTCAGAGACTCAATCAAATAAATACAAGATGGTTTAATGCCCACAATGAGTTCTGACATGGCAACTGACCCAATTGCTATTCATTATCTATTTTGGCTCAGGGATGGTTTTCTGTTTTGATGACAATATCTTTTGGATAAACAGTTGAAAAGTGTTTGAATGAGTAGTAGGTTTGGTATCTGGCTCTTTCTGGGTAATTTGATTCCATTACTGTACTTTAGGATCTTAGAAAATGTCTAGCACATTATTAAATTCTAAGTTTTCAAGTTTTCAAAATTAAATCTCTTATAGCAGCTCTACTTAATAAAATATTTGTATACAGATTCCACAAAGAATAGTAAAATAAATTGATGCACTGTATTGCATTATCTTGAAAATAGGCAGCAGCTATATAGATAATCCCGTTTATACCATTTTCTAGATCGATCTAGATGAAATTACCCTTACAAAAATTATCTCATCCGATCATCTGGTTACAATATTTTGCCTTACAACAGATCATTCTTATTCAAGTTTATTTGAGAAAACCATAAGTCTGTTAAACCATCAGGTTGAAGTTAAAAAAAGGTATGAGATTTTGCTGCAGAAACCAGTTTATTGTTTCGTTTCATCCAACCAGAGTTTATTAATTTAAATTTTAAATGCAGAAGCTCTTCATTCACTTCATCAGCAGATACTAAATGTTGAGGTTTTCAAACTTCTGACACAACATCTCATGCACTTCTATCTTTTCCCTTGACCTGGAATTTCTTCTGACCATTTTATTATGGCACCAATCTTTTCTTTGACTCTATATCTCTTCCCTTCTGAGATCTTGATCTGATATGGTATTTCTAAAAGTTTAATGTTCAATGTTTTACATCAAATCAGCTGGATCTCTTCTTGTAAAAAGCAAAAAATTCAACTGATTTTCTTCATCTCCCCCTTAGTATTTCATCGATAAGTAATAATTTAAGATAAACTTATCTTTGTTTTTTTGCTGGATCATGGACATAATTGTTTGAGTTTCTGACTATACAGTTTATTGGATGAATAATCCAAATAAAATCTTAAATACAGTAAAATAATACAATATTGAAGGTTTTAAGAAGCAAATAAAGAATTGAAATCTTAACAAATTTTCCTATAATTCTTTAGAAACTGCAATTTTAACAATGGTACAAAAGTTACACCTAAATTACAAAAATAGTGAAAAGTTAAAATTTCTTTATCTTAAGTGGATCTCTATTTTTAATTCAAAACTGTATTAATAAATCATCCTTCATTTCTAATCTGTTTTTCTCATATGTAGTCTTCTTGAAGGAAAAAATATATGGTGGGAATTTTTTAGTGCCATATGTATGCTATACATAATGCTTTCCTTTAGTGTGTGCAACAAAACTATTTCTCTTTAAAATTGGGGATTAATCTAATTAATCTAAATAAATAGGAATCATAAGTTTTTTCCATTCTATTTATTTACTAGAAGTAAAACAAATTTGAGTGGGGTGAAATGGAATACCGGTAGTTTATAATAAAGTGTTGAAAATTACTAATCTCACTGTCGAGTACTTTAAGTTTATTTTTTTTTCATTTTGTACATATTAAACATACTGTATATAATGGAATGTCATTATAAATGTAGTAGTCGTCTTTTTTACTTGCTAGTGTTTTATTTTTTTTTTTCATTTCATGATCATAATAATTACGGCTTATACTATATTATATAAGACAATTGCCATACATACGTCTTGACCATTACATATTGAACACTGTACATTGTTGTACTGTACATAGAAATTAAACTTTCTTGCAATATGAGCTAAACAGTGATGGTTTTACTCTATTATCCCTCTAAATATTTTAAAACTTCATGCTCTACTTTTTGTAGCCTGTATACATAAATGTAGCAAGTTCTTTAACTTACAGAATTGTATCCCCGGCGCCCCACCCGGATTGCCACCGCAGGTAAGTTAGGCAAATCCTTTCAATGTTTCCAGTTCAGCTACCATACGCAAATCCGACCATTTTGTCAAAATGAAAATGCTAAACTCTTGCACTTCTCTTGTGAAATTGTAAGTTCTTCAATATAGCATCAGTTCATTTGAAGGATTCACCCCTCCCCCTGATAGTTAAGAATTTTTCTAATTTTTCAACTGTTTAAGTTATGTTTCAAAAAGTATTTTTTTTTCAAATTTCCTTCAAAAGAAGCAGCTATCAACATAAATTTTAAACTTTTGTATGTCATGTTTTGAAGATCTTCAAAAACATTTTCTACCATTAAATAAATGGAATAAACAAATAGCATATTATAATGTTTGTTGGGTGATATATCTTTATATTTTTTTATATAAACTTGGCAAGTTTATTTTTTCATTATATCCTTTATCAATAAATTTGTGAGTCCTGTGTGGCAGCATACCGGTACCTGAGTAGGGTTCTGAATTTTCTTTAGCTAGGAACCTATTTGAATACAAATGTAATAAAGCAATTAGAAATTTCTTTACCAAACAGATTTTCTACTACAAGGGGTAGTGGAGGAGTTTTGTTGCAAAAAACCTATTCACATCCTAATGGGTAAAACCAAAATGTGCTTCCGTTTAAATATTTATTGTAGAATTTAACATCGTTTGTAAAATTATTGCTAATGTTGCTAAGGTTTTGTCAATAGTTTGATTGTTTGTTACGCCATAGTTCAAGTTAGTTTTTGCTCAGTTCGTTGAAGTTTAGTTAAAAATTATACAGAGATACTGTATTTATTCTCACAAATGTTAACACCTCATTCCCGTCATTTTTTCAAAGAGTGACCATGTTTTCCATTGATTCATACTAATCACATTTTATGTGAAATTTTTAAAATAATAATTTGTCTCAAATGTGGGGTTTGTAAAATAATACAGTATTTTTAATATGCAGCACATCTTGCCAGAATGAATGTAGCATAGCATATTGTATTATCCATCAGAAATCAACCAGTAACCACCGTAGTAATCCATGTATGTAGCACTTTTAACTATTCCTCAGACCTATTTAAATATAAAATAGTTTTTTTACTGTCCTTAAATAGCAAAAAGTTGAATAAAAGAATAGGAACCATCAGAATAGGAATCATCAAAAATATATAATACAAATTTAAACTACTTATTAACTTTAACACGTTCTCATGATTATAATTTATTAATGTGTTTTCATTACACACAAGCTACAACCAAAAGTACACTTAGAAGCTGTCCCTGAAAGTGGATAACATTTACAAATAAACCAATGTGAGATGTGTATAGAATAAATTTGACATTGGTTGAGGCTCTACTATGTTCCAAATTTAAAATTATGTTTAGGTGTAAAATGAAACTCAGCTGGTTTTCCCTTTACTTATTGTCTATAAACTCAAATTATCTTATGTAAAACCTATATTTGTTTTAATACACATAAATGTTTTTATTTATTATTATTATAGTGACTATATTTTAAGGGAAAGCATTGTGGCTGCTCAAGCAGTCTTTTTTTCTTTGAAAGGGATTAAGTTTAGTTAGCTTTGTACTGTAAAGGGGCGGACTCAGGGTCCCAACACATAAACCGAAGCATATTGTGCTTATTTGGCTTACCAGAGAAAATTAAACTTTAGGGGTTTATAGCGACTCAAACAAGTTTTCATATCTCAAAACTGATGTTTTGTTCTAATATACAACATAACTTGACAGTAAATTGATACGTACACTTTCTCTCTGTAGAGAGTTTTTGCACGAATAAAATGCCAGAGTTGTGTTAGATGTGACTTTTTGTGTATCTACAATTCTCTGGAAATAGTTTTCCCACGTAAGCTAATCACTTACAAAAGAATCGTAGTAACTGTAATTGTTTGAGCTTTAGCCATATTTGAGGTTTAGATGTTGACAAATGGTTTGGGTTTCAGAATTAGAATATATCAGTTCGCTATATGATGTATGCTCATCACTACAACAGCATGAAGCATGATTCACCTTACATTTTATTGAACCTATTACCTATGTATGGTTTAATGTATCGAAAGTTTAAAGTTTAAGAGAGGGGTTTTTTTAAGAAATACAAACACTGTTCTCTTAAAGGTGTACAAATCATACTCAACATATAAACGTTTCATAAACACTTTAAATGTAAAAAAAAAAAATGGTTTCTGGATCTGTTTGATATTGGGCTACCTTAGAGATAGTATTGTTTTGTAAAACCCATCAAGAAAGATGGTATTGTTAATTTAGGAATGAGATTTTTTATAATTATTGTAGGCCTATATAACAATTAATTTTTGTAAAAGACACGATTAGGTTCCAAAGTTATTCAAACATTCTTTGAAATCATTTCCAAATCATAGGTACAACTTTTAAAATAAACATGCTGTAATATTATCCAAACTTTAATGTGGCCGCAGGAATGCATATTTTACAAATATTGGAGAAGTGAGGGATCTTAAGGAAAATAAGGAGGCTTGTGCATACGAAGTCACAAAACAATTTTGGAATTTACTGGTTTGTAAGTTAAGTTTCAAGACATATTATCGATTACCGGCGTTGACGCGATAGCAAGAGACAACCAGTGGTGATGCCGAGATCGCAGAATATGGCCATGGTTGTATGCTACAATTGCAGGAGACAATCAACACTTGTAAAAAATGCAAGTAAACACAAAAAAAGCAATGTTATTTTGGCTACATACATACAAATATCCGTCTCAATTTATTATAGGTGTATCTGTGAAAGCAGTTTGACAATATATTTGCAGAAAATTGTATTGTTTTCAAGTATTGTAATATTTAATAATTAATTGTAAATCAATTAAACTTATGGGTACCAGGATGTCAAGCCGATCATGATACTGGATTAATTGGGAATTGTGACAGAATTTGGAAGACTGGACAAAAGCTAGTGTGAATTGTCAGTAGATTACGTAAATTTTGATTAGGACCAAGAAATTAATTTTTTTTAAGAATCACCACCAATAGCAATGGTGTCTTGTCCATTTATTCCCATAGAGCAAATGAATATTATATGCTCTATGTTCATTACCGAAAGAGAGAAAATCAAGATCGCGGGAAATACAAAACTATGGTATCACAACAGTTGCTCACGGGATGTTCCTGTGATCTCTTTTCTAATGTTGGTTTTGAGTGTTGGCCTTAATAATTACCTAATTTACTAAAAAAAATTAATAAATAACCAAAGTGACAACAGCCGCACACGCAATTCGTTCAATGCCGCAGCAAGTATCTTTGTCGTCATTGTCAAAAAGTGGCTGCTAAAAGCCCCTGTCAAGTTGGTATTAAAATACTGGTAGGCCTACCGTACTCACATTTTAACATCGATTGTTGGCACCCATACTTGTCCTAAAAATGGATGGTGCCGAGAATTTCCTTTAGGTATCAACACGTAGTTAATTATAATGATATAAAATGGTTATGAGATACGTTTTTTGAAAATTTCTTCCTGCTCTCAGTGGGGGGGCATGGCCCCTGCCTTCCCCCCCTCCCTTGGAGCCACCACTGGCTCCTGGAAGCCTTCCCACAGTGGAAAACTAGCTAGGAGTTTTGTGTTGACTCGGAAAGAAACTATTTCTAAGAATTTTAGTCCGCTATATTTCTTTTCCTGAGACCAGTCTTGAAACTTGACACACCCTGTATGTTGTTAAATATTTAGTTGGTGACATAGAAGTGTTGTGTGAAATTTAGTTGTATATATATTTTTATTGTTGTAAGTAATTAAGGCTACATACTACAATAAAAGTCACATTTTTACAACCTCTTGAAGCTATATGTATTAAAACTTTTAAATCATTATACAGTAGCAGGATAGAATAATTTTTCCAAAACAAGTTTTAATTAGATGTAGGACCTAGAAATGATTAAATCTAAAAGATCATGTTCTTAAATGCAGGCATATTAATTTCAAGCAAATACTTAACTGCCATGATGCGCAGTGGTGTGGTCTTAAATTTTTGAGGACAGGAATGCTCACCGTTATTACAGAAAAATACAGGTCGCTTATCGTAGTATATAGGTTCTTTGGAAAAAGTAGAGTGGGAACACCTTACCTACCCCACTGATAATCTATATAAATGTACCCTTTAATTTTATAAACATATAACCATATACAAAATTATAAATCCTTCTTCTCTTAATCAGGTTGATGAATAAAATCATAGATAAAACATACTCCCTTAGAAGATTTGTCATCCCTATAGAACAGCTGAAGCCAATTTTATTGTTAGTTATGTACGTCCAACTGTAATGGGTTAGGTTTTGTTTACAATTTGTTTTTGTTATTTCAGTAATTTAAAACCCCATTTAACCAAATAAAACAATGTAATTATAAACAATAACTGGTCCCCTAGTTATAAACCAAATAGGTAAGCACAAATCATGAAAATAACCCTAAAATAATAGAAAAAAAATTTGTCTACCCCAGCGATTCGGTGTGGACGTACATGAACTAGACACGAAAAACAAGCTTCAAAATTTACAATGGGATAAGGAGTCTACTTGTGTTGGTTAATCGATGATAAAATATAAAAGAGGTTTATTCTATCAGTGTTGTAGAAGAACTTTTCAGTTGTATTGTCTACACAGTAGACACTAGACACTGTACAAAACTTGCCATTACAGGCTAATACTGTATCAGGTGGACTGGAAAACCAGTGGAATTGTGAAAATCTAAACTCTACTCTATATATCTTGAATCAAATGTTGTGCATTTGAGGAGGAAAAGTATGTAACTGATCGTATTGGGGTGGCGGAATTGTACCCCCCACAGGTTAGTGACGTCACAATGACGTCTCATTTTCTCGATCAAATTGGCGTGTACAGGGTGGAATTGTACCCCCTCATAAAACTTTGATATTGTTATGCACGAGTGGTTCGATTAAATCCACTGGCATCTGAAACTGTACGGACCGGAATTTTACCCCCCTGGAATTGTACCCACCCCCCCAATCAGAACTCACGTTTATTTGGCCAGTGTACGGGGTGGAATTGTACCCTCCGTCAGTCTAGCCCTTGTTCTAGGACCAGAATTGTCCCCCATATTATACCTATTGTACCCTTGGGGGTCCAATGAGTCCCCCCCTATTGTACCCCCTGGTGACCGCAGAAGAAGATGTACGGCTCGGAATTGTACCCCCTGGAATTGTACCCCCACCCCATTTGACCCAGGAGCTTGTCTATTGTGATTACCAAATAAAATCAAAACAATATTTATGTTGGAAATTAGAGGCGAATCACACGAAAGTGAACTGACCCAAGTTACCCAACCCATGAACAGATAGTACTTGGGAAAGTGAAGAAAATATTAATGAATAGCATACAAAGAAGTCCATTTGCCCTCTCGCACGTTACTCGGAATGGCCTTAATTTGCAGTTTCTTAGAATATCACATTAAATACATTTCGTTAAAATCAAAGTGTATGGAGTGGAATTGTACCCCCCTAGGGGTGGCGTCAAAATGACGTCAAAGATCGTCGGGGAATACAATTCCGGCGACCCATCGTATTGTGTAACTGTTTAGTTCCCTTTTGTTATGATTGGTAACTACAATTATCTCAAAATTTAAAAAATGTGTCTCCATCAATTTATTGAGGATCTGTTTGTGGATTGTTTGGCCTGGTCCATCCCTTGTTATTCTATTTTCCCCTGGGCATTATTTTTTAATGAGTGAATTGCTTACTCTATTTTTTTTCCTGTGTTGAATCCAGCATGTACATGTTGCACGTTTTTATATATTTCCTTTGCTCTCTATAGCTCTTGCTTATTTTTATTGCAAAGTTCGTGGAAGTATTCATGCAAAACTTCACCCCTTTTTCTTTCTGAGTCATAGAATCATATGTGCTAGTCTTGATTTATTATGGCTTTGGGCCAGGCCTTTTCTTGTCTTACTCTGCTATTTCCAATGAGTCGCTTAGCTATTCACTTTTTTTCCTCTTAACACTTTTGCTCTTTGTCCTTCAAGTTTATTATAGTATTTTCTGTCTAGATCTTGTCTTTTTTTAAATAAGGTTTCATTGCCTTTTTTAGTGCAAATGTTTCTCCTACATTTAATGATTATAGGATTATAGTCATGATTGTTTGTGTTTGGCAGCACAAAAAAACATATGACTTCTTCAGAGCAATGCATAAGTTGTAAGCTTTATGAGCATTCAAAGCTTAATTGAATCAACAATACTTATGAGAACTTAGTTTGTTTGTGTTGATATAGTATAGGGGTGTGCGAGTAGTAAATTTATTGGTTGAATCAAAGTTACAATTTAGAATCTTAGAGTTTTTTTTAGTCTAGTATTATTATAGTGAGGTGATATGCATAATTTCTTTATATAAAAATAAAGCTTTGCAGAATGATAAATTAGGAACTATTCTTTATGGGATGTACAAAACAATGTCAATTAGAGATTACAGTTTGCATTGTTTTGAAGTCCAAATGCTTTATCCAAACTAAGCAAAATATACTTCTCTTCTCAGTTTCATCAACAACTATATTTAAATGGGTTTTGAGCTCAGTTGACAGTAAGAAGTATAGAATATTAGAATAACCTGTTAGAGTAGGTAAAGATCGTGAGTTTGGTTCAGCCATACTGTGAAAGTCTTATAGCAAACTCATTCGGGGCCGGATTTAGCATTTTAGCGCCCCTAGGCCCAAAGATTTTTCCGCCCCCTATCAATGAAAGTTTTTTTAAAGACTTAACTTGGTTCTGTCTTCAAAAAAATGCCTTCTTGAACACTTTCAGCAATTTTATACACTAAATTATAGCTCAAGTTTTTGTGGGACTGAAACAGAACGAACTAACTCGTAGAGAATTCCTGCAACAAAGCGAGGGCATTGCTGCTGCCACAATGGCTTTACAAATCTGGCAAAAAAAACATGAACTCTGTACCTACAATACAATTCTTGTTATTTAAAACCTCAACCAATAATAATCAAATTTACCCAAAAATAATAGAAATAAAATTTTGTCGACACCAGCGCCCAATGTCGCCAACATGAACTAGACATAAAAATAATCTTTAGATTTTTTGTAATGAGATGTCCACTTTTGTTGGTTAGTCTAAGGCGATGCTGCATTTAGATTTGATTTGCAAAGCAAAACAAAGCAATATTTTGCATAGCAATAGAGATCGATGGGTAAGGCTAAGGGTAGTAACTCTGTCTTGACAATAACATTGGCATGCGCATGCGCCCCTAATCACTCCGAGCAGGAGCAGTAGCACCTAGCACCAATCTAGGCATAGTGGCAGTGGCGATGGCAACACCATCCCGCACCGTACAGCTCATAACATCCCTATAACATCTTCCCGTGTTCAAGACCAATGTTGTAACATAATAGTTGATGCGTAGGCCTAATGTTGAAAAATATTTTTTTTTTTTATAGTTAACATTAATTGTTCCATCGAACTTAAAAATGAAAATGCTATATTAGCCAGATTTTTTTAAAAATAAATCCGCAAAATATGTAAAGTATTGGCTGTTTATTTATATTTATAGAGATTAAAAAAATTAAAAAAAAAAAAATTTTTGGCCGTGCGCCCCCTGAGAGTTTGCGCCCATTGGCCCAGGCCTACCTGGCCTATTGGGAAATCCGGTCCTGAACTCATTACTCTTATATAGTATATAACTCTTACAGCAACAAATTTAAGGCTATGTTTTAAGGCAATTTGTGGCCACACGTGCTTTTATTTCAATTTATTTAAGTGTTGTTCTTCGAGATGTATTTATAGATTTTCTGACGACCTCTTCCGAGTGAATTTATGTTCTTCTATCACCTGAAGATGACCCCATTCTGGGTTGAAACCAGTCGCCGCTTATTGGTGATGTTGATTACACTTTGGTGTCTTTTAAACAAGTTAACTAAGTTTACAAGCAATTCTCATATGAAGCATGCATTTCACCGAACAAACAGTAAAATAACAAAGAATGATATATCCACATCTACAATTATCTAATTTCATTAATGGCTTGGTTGTTGCTGTGGTAATTGAAGCACACAATGGAGTTTTGTTTTGTAAGAAATTAGCTTTATCAAGATTTATCTTGTTTTAACAAACTTTCCAAAATATATCAATTGTAGGAATTCAATTTACTAATCTGTTTGTCCAACAGGTCCGCAAGAAGGAACCTCCGCACCCAATCAGAGTGGCTAAGACCATTGACGTCATCGCCCGCATCACCTTCCCCACAGCCTACGCCGTTTTCCTCATCTTCTTTTTCTTCCACTACAAGGGATCGTAATCCTAAAAACCCACCCAAATTTCACTATTCATCATGCAACTGTTTTAACTAGTGCAGCTTCTTCTGTACGGCTACATCAAACTTATAAAGTAGTTGCAGCGGTTTTTGTTTAAAAAAAATATTAAATTGCAAAAAGATAAACTAAGTAGATTTACACATCTTATCCACAATGATTAGCATATGCTTTACAAGTTTTAAAGCCAGCGATATTTTTTTCTGCAGAAGAGGACTTTAAAGTTAATATGGATTATACTTATGTAAAATATCCAAGTTACCAAATTCTTTTTTATAATTAGGGTACTATATTTAGTCACTACCGCGAACATAAGAATACAATGATTTTCGCTTGATTTATGCAAAATTGTTTTGAATGCATAACCCTTAAGTTTTCTGATTGGGCAAAAATTCATTTTGTTCTTTGAAGAAATTATTCAAGCTAGAGATTGATGAAAACTATAAACAAGTTAGTTGCTTTTCATTCTTTACTATTCAAAGTACATTATTTGAAGAGTGTTCAAAATATTTTATCATAACCAAAAGTAATTGTTTTTTTTCAAATTTTTTAGATACTAGAGAATCATAGCTTCATAAAATGTATATACCTGTCTTAAGGGAAATTAAAAATTGTACGGTTGTATGCACAAAAAATATTAAACTTTAAGCCAGGTTATTTCAGTTTTTGGCATTAATGGTTGTTAATAATTTTGTTGCCTTTTTGACATAGTTATTACTTTGATCATTCCCAAGTATTCATTTAATTTATTTTTTACATACCTTAGCCAAGTTAGTAATAAAGTATTAAAAAAATATAGTTTACAACAACTAACCATGTGTATTGTTATCATCAGATATTACTGTTATATTTACAAAAATGTTTTTGTGCATCATATGAACTAGTTTATATTGGCATAATTGTGAAGCTCACATGACTGGTTGTACATTATATTAGAACCGTATATAAACCGGGTGTTTCAAAAATCAGTTTACAAAGTATTTGCTTAAAGCAAATAATAAATAAATGTTATTTATATTATAATTTTGTTTCAACTGAATTTAGACTACACATAGGTTATAAACTTAAAAGAATTGTTCAAAATGCTTTCCACTAACTTCAATGCACTTTTCACAGCGTTTTTTACACGTAATAATCCTTTTGCATAGATTTTTACTGTTGTCAAGGCTTCAAACTCTCTCGTGATGGCTGCTCTCAATTGTAAAACATCTAGAAGTGCAAAACATGATGGAGCTGGAGTTTGAGGGAATCTTTCTACAAATAACTGAATAACTTCTTCACTATTTTTATTTTTTTCATCCGACTTTATTAAAAGGAATATGAGCTTCTCGGGGGTTGGTTTGCTCATGGTTACTGTCAACATGAAATGCAAATAACAATCTAAATCTAACCTCAAATCTAAACATAAAAATGTCAACAATGATCTTAACAGCTGATTTTGGCATTGCTGAAAACCAGGTTGTGCAACATTAGTTACGCAAGCATTGTGTTTTGTAAGTCAGTTTACCTCAGTAAACTGGTAAACTCATTTGTGAAACACCCGGTATTATATATCTTTCATTGTTATTTTGTTGGTAGGCCCCTCTAATTAAACACACTGTAAACGGTCTACAGTTTCCCCTTTAGCAGGATTTTACAATAGATGTAATGGGTTAGGCAAGATGAGTAAATTTCCCATCATCAATTGAAGGAATCTGAAATAATTTGTCTAATTAGCATTTTCATAACAAGAGAACAAATAAAGATTCACAATCAGATATTTTTATGAAAGTTTTAAATAAAAAGGTTTATATCAACTGTGACTTATAGTAGATCCCAGCAATCCTAGAAGGGTTTTTAGGACTGAATTATCTCCACTTGTTACTGTCCTAGTTGTCACAAACAATTCTGAATCTGAGTTTCAAATCAATCATCTAACCTCATCTAAACCACTCTTTCCTTTAGAGTTAAATTAATGTGTGTAGCTTCTATATTAATTCATTCTTCTTCTATTGGTGTCTAAATTAATCAAACAAAAGGTTGTATGATGAATGTGAATACACCACTATTCATATAGTGTAAGTTTTCATACTAATAAATTGTAGTCACATCAATAAGTAACTGTATACGAGAAGTATGTTTTGTTTTTTAACAGAGGTTATATTGGTTAGGTACTTTGATAGATGCTACAGTTGTACACTTCAAGTGTATGTTTCGTTATTAGTTAAACTAAAATTAACTATGCTAATGAAATAAGTTTGTAGCTTATGTTACACAGAGAGAGTTGATTAACAGAACATACTTCTTTGACAGTGTACCACCAATATTCCAATACACATTGTAGTACTGTAACTCACAGCTGTGTTTTATCTGAGTGTTTTCTGTATACTTGTACCTTTTTATACTGATACTCTGTATATTTTACTCAGTGGCATTACTTTTTTGTTGTGAAACTTATGTATCTCTACTCTAAAACAAATGTACGGTAATTATAAAATACTAAACAATCCATATTAAAAGCTGGTTTATTAGTTATACTCAAATTCAATTATTTTTAATGTATAGATAGAATTGTAGACTGCATGTTGTGTGGTTTACAGTGGTTTTACTATGACATTATTACGTGTTTTAATCTAAAATGAATTAAATCTACTGTAGCTAAATGCAAAGACTCTTAAGTGTTTCCACAGGTCTTAAAAAACTCTTTAATATGTTTATAATAATAAATTAATTAAAATACAGGGTCATATTATGTACAGAGAAAATTTTGTATTTTATCACAATTTAACAATGTGGGCAATATTTTGTTCATTTGGTTACCTATCATCTTATTTTTTTTTTTTTACTTTTGTTTTTCTTGTTGGGAAATATAATAACTAAATATAATACTTAACTATGGTCTAAAACTTAGTAGCTCGCCAAAATGTGTTATGCATATTTGATTGTTGTTCTTTGAAAAAAATTTATTAATAATCAATTATATTGTACTAAATCCGTGGAAAACAACCTTTTGACCTCCACAGAAACTTTTTGTGAGGAAAGCTTTTCATATGATATTGATATTATTGACTCTTCATATTATTTCTTCTGGTTTACCCAATGTACCAAATAGCTTGATAACCAATCTAAAGTTTTTCATTTTATTAAAGTAATAAGAAACAATAATATTGTTCTAAATTTACACATAAAATTCATTTATTTATTTAAAAAAACATAACAACATGAAACGCCATTAAGAAATGTATAAGAATATTATTTATTTATAAGTAAAACAAATCTATGACAAATTACCTGACCTACAAAACAGATTAGTTTAATGGTTATTTTTAAATTAGGCCTACTGAAAATAAATATTAGTGATACAAAATTTACTTTGATTTAGACTTGTTCATTCGCAGGATGTATTTATTGAACTGACTAAATAAATACAATGCTGGTACGGACATTATTAATCAACATGTAATTTGTTTTGATTGATTGTGAAAATTGTCATTTTCAGCTTACTAAATTAAGATTTTGTGTAATTTGTTATGTAGTATCTGGTGAATAAGTAATATAGTGCTTACTAATTTTCCATATTTGACATCGGATACTTACAAATATGTTTATATAAGTCACCAGTTATTTTCATTCATTAGGTACTTCTACTTAAATATGGTAGCCTATTACTCAATCTATTATGTTGTCCACTTAAAAATGTTTATTGCAAAAATGTTAGTTACCACTTTAACTATAGTTACCAATGTGATAATTTCTAGTCAGAATTATAAATATATTTTAAGAATATCAGTCATTTCCAGTACAAATTAAAAATATTCATACTAAATCTTGTTTATATTAGTTTTAGTTATTGTTATTTAATACCGTACCTATTAATTTAGTATATTGTTAAAACCCTTATTTGAGCTCACTTGTTTGTGATTAATTTTGTAGAATGTTTATAAATTAATTGTAATGACCAATTACCAATACAGTAGTCCTGCAAACTCAACACTGAGTAACTATGCGCTTATTCCGATTGTTTTTTTTATTGTTAAATAATCCATAGGTTTAGAATTAATAAATAAGATGAAGTTTGAATAGTCAATAAATTAACACTGTTTCCAATTATAACATTAAACTGTGATCTATGTTAGAAGTCATCAAATGTTTTATTAAATTGCAGTAGTCTTCATATTTATCCAATAATTAATTATTTAATATGTATGTAACAGTTGATCAACATTTTGGAAAATTAAACATTCCAAAAACTCAAAAGGCACATTTTGTTGAGTTTGTAAGGGTACTTTATAAATCAAATAATTTCTTCATTAAACCAGAAACACTGTTACTCCACATTTACCGTGTCTTTCTGTACTAAAATACTATTCAAATTGTTGTCTCCTAAGAAAACTACAAAAGTTGTCATGTCCAATTAATTGAAATTAAAACTATAAATGTTATTTCTCGTGTTATTGTGTTGTTTAGAAGTATATGATATTTTCTACCATATATCAAATGTTTTTTCCTCTGGTTGATGTTGAATGTCTGTATAAAGTTACAAAAATTATATTTAATTTTTTAATGTTTTGACTTAGTTTCAGCATCAATTTTAGAACTAATTGCTGCTGATAATTTCAATCACTAAAGGTTGCGTATGATTGTAAAGTAAACAATATGACCAGACAGTGCTGGATTTGCTTAACTTACTACTTTTTTGTCTATTATGAACTAATATGTCCTGAACTGTATGTGTTATCAGCTCCAGATCAAATCTTACATGACATGTGATAACCAAGACAATTTTGGTTTGCACATTTAAATCTCAATGTGATACTAAATTTATATTTAGCCTACATAACATAATAAAACCAAATACAGTAATTATAAGAGTAGGATTTAATTTGCCAAGCACTTTTGCCCTCTCTCTCTAATGGCATTGTTAGGATTTTGTTGTTGTTGTTCTTATTGCCAAGCAAAAAATGTTGAACTTTCTAAACCTATATAAATTGTAATAATTTGTATCAAATACAAGAAAATTTGTTAAAATTAATTTTAAATTATTTCAGTATTTTACTGTTTTATTAGATATGTAGTGTAGCTCAGTAGTTCTTTCACTATTGCTATACACTAAACAATGTGATGGGATATGGATGGCTAATTAGTCAAAGCTATTTAATATCAAGGATTAGTCAGTTTTATTGTCGTCATTTTAAATAAATGATGTTTATCTTGATATAAACAAAAAATCTTGTTGCATGTGAAATTCTTTATTAGATAATTGAATGAATTGTTTAAAATTATGTAATTGTTTAATTTTCTATGTACTCACGAATGTGATCCAAAGTAATGTTTATTTTTGTAAAAATATGAAATTAAAAGTGTATATTTTTATGTGTCAATCATATTTATATGGCATTGAGAATGAGAATATTTACTGTAAAGATAATTAAAATTGTATCTTAAAGTTAAATATATCAAAGTTAAAGTGTTTTTTTTTTATTATTATTAATCTTATTTTACTGGAACTTATTATCTTTTATTGTTTTCAATGAGTATTTGGTTTTTAACTTAATGAAACAATTTACAAACTGGAACATGTATTACACCTTTTGTCTTATTAGGTATGAAACATTTATGACAACAATCAGTCTGCTATTTCCTCAAATCGTCTAAGTATTTTACTTGTTCTAAACTCGAAAGATATTTAGAACATTTTTGTATGAATTTGACTAAAAAAAATACAATCGCAAGCTGTAAACCTTTTTGTAAATTTGTAAAAATTGTAAAAATTTACAAGCATTTTGTCTACTTTTACTAAGTGTTCGTTTGTAACATTTTCTAATGTAGTGGTTTTCAATTGAACATCGGTGATTATAATTACGATCACAGTTTGTAATGTAAATTTTGTGGTGATTATAATCGTGTAGGTGTGTCGTATCACTTAAGTGCACTGATTCTCACACATGCCTTGCCTGCCCGCCTTCATAAGACCTCCTACATAGCGTGGACTGGGTCTAAGACAGTAGACAGTAGATAACAGAGAGTACTGTAGTTTAAATCATCCAACAAACAGTAATATATTCAGAGTAAAAACCACGTTTATGCCCAAATGGTGGATTAAGAATGGCACTGTGGATGTAGATTTTTCTGCTCTTGAAGCATTTAAAAATAGCAAATTATGAGTTTGAATAATGGATGTTGCTCAACTTTCCATGTTATGAAAATAGTTTAAGGTTTGATTATGTGTTAACATTAGGTTCAGAGTCTTGCCGAGAGGGAATCACCTTAGCAGTGGAGTATAAATCTACGTAAAAACCCTTTCATACTATTTGTCTTAAATGTATTGTACATTATAATTTTCATGAAAAGTCATAACCTTATTGCCACCAATCTAAAACTTATAATGAGTTCATCAACAAGAATGACTAAGCAAATTTCCTATAATGTATTTTTTTAAATTTCAATCATATTAAAATTTTAAATTTTAGACCATGTTTTTTAAATTACTGATATAATTCACCAAGTAAACTTATGTTATGTCTTTGAATTTATTGAATGTAGTTTGTTTTGTTTTAACTGCTTTGGTTGCCCATAGTCCAGAAGACCCAGTCCATACAGTCAATGGGGTCAGAGTATTTTAATGCACTGCATGAGTTATGTCAGTTATTTATACTAATCGCATTGTCCTAGTATGTGTGATTGCTGCACGAATATCTGATGCGAGTTTGAGAGCATGGAAGTGACTGTGGCTTGTACATTTTACACCAAAGCTTCTAAAAACACGGTGCCTTTTGCTTTTGATGTGTTACGTAAATGGATATTGTAACTTATCTTGATTTTTAATAAATAAGACTCGATCACGGTACTTAAATAGTTAAGTTTAGAAATCGGAGCCACTGCTGGCTTCTCGCGGCACAACGAAACATATTTAAAAGCCTTTGAATTTTTAATGTTAGAAAAATTAGAAGAAGCACTGTAAATAGATGGCTTGGCGAAGAAAACATACATTTGTCACTGAACCGTATGATCCGCAGTGTAAATCTAAGAGTCTAGAGGCTATAGATTGGACATAGAGTTAGTCTTACAATATTGTATTAACTGCAGCTGATGGTGAGAAAGCATTCAGAACAACGAGTCTTTATTGCTTTTAACTCACTTTTTATTACCGAAGGAATTTGCCTCACAGTGCCGCTAACTAGATACAATTTAGCCATGTTTGTAATTTTTTTTTTTTTGTAACTTTTTTAAATAAACCTTATTTTTAGTCAATTTCTCTATATATCACTGTTTTTACTGACAAGTAGATGAATATTAATGAGGTTATTTGATAAATTTTGTTATATCTAGGTTTGGTGCAGATACCTTTTATTTCTTAAATTGATTTTATAAGAAACTAGTCATTGTTTAAGTATTTGTTGGACATTTAAATAAAGTGTTTGTAGTTTATTTGTGTTTTTTTTTTCATTAAGGAAACATTTAAGTGCACTAGACTGTTAAGATTTTTGTGAAAATATTTATTGCCAAATGACCAATTAACAATGCCAGAAGTTATAATAAGATATATAAGTAAAGATAAATGAACAGACCAAGCTGTGAGTGGACACTCAAATAAAATGAAACAATTATTTTATGATTACTTTACTGTCTTATAAATTATTTATCGGGTGCTTTGACCAAATAAGTATTTTAAGCATGCTTTTTATTAAAGATAGTTTCTACTATGTGCACTATCTTGTGGCCCCTTGTTTGTGATCTTTGTAGTTTCAACTATTCTATTTAAACTACCCATTGTAAAATGGTTGGAATAGTAGCTATTTCGACTATTATAGTCTATTGATGCAGTGTTAACATTGTAAATATTCACAATTGTACATATTTTCTTGTACATTCGTTCAGAACAATTTTCAATAAAATATTATTACACCATTACTAATTCCTTTGTTTTTCTCATACCTTATTATGTTACTCTGTTCAGATCTGTTGATCATTGTGTTCTTTTAGCTTATCTCTCAGCTAGACTAGTTGAAGTTGTGGACCTTCAAAAGGACAGTCTTAACTGAGGACAAACCCACTGATATTGAGAACAAAACAACATTTCTGTTACTCAGGACAGTGACAATAAGTTCAGTAATGGTATTTACCCTAAAACAAAAAATGGGACTTCTTTTACTTGTTTGTAAAAAAAAATTGATTCAGCTGCAAATTTGGACAAATCAACTGTTTAAAGCAGAAAGGGCATTTCTTAGGGCCAACCAGACAGAACCAAGCATAGACTATTAGATGGAGTATATTCAGCTTTGGTGAGGTAACAGTTTTTTTTGTTGTTTTTTATTATTATGCCAAAAGATTTCAATCATATTAAAAATGTAAATTATATCTAGATCATGTATTTAATGTTACTGATATACTACACCAAAGTCAAACTTATGTTATGTCTTTGAATTTTTCAATTCAAGAGGTGGTGGTTTGACGTTAGCTCTGGAAGTATAAATGTGCCATATAAAATGTCAGTACTAAACAACAGGGTGTACAGGGTGTTTTTATAACGCAACCCAAATTACAATAAGTGTAAGATACATTTTAATGACAAAATAAAGCTCACATGTTGGTATCCCTATTTTCTTTCCTTCATTGTCAATCAGCTGATATATTGTTCTATGAGTTTTAGTATTATTGTGAATTTACTGTCACTAAGACTCAACATCATGTTTTCGCCATGGCTCAGGCCGCGGCCTGGTAGAATTGGCAACGTCACAAGTAGTGCCGTTTAGCGCCAGATGTCCCATAAGCTAACATGGCAGACAAATGTGACACCCGCTCATTTAATCTTGTATTATTCATTTAAATTTTAATTTATGAATATAAATTTATTAAAAGATTAAAAATAAAACATTTAGTCCAAACAAAACAGCACTGACAGTGTTGCCACTTCGAAGGCCGCGGCCTGGAGTTAAAGGTGGCCATGGCATGGTTTTTTAAGAGAAAAATGAATGGGAATTTAGACAATTTAAAGGTTGAAAGTTGATTAAAATTGCCAATTTGTTGGAGTATTGAGTTTTCTTAGTACTTTTAAAATAATACACACTTTTATACAAAAGGATTTGGTTATAAAAAAATTGTTATTAAAAAGTATAATGGCACAAGCATAGATTGGTGTTTTAATATTCACCAATCCATTCCGTTTTTTCAATGAGTTGATCTCCAACTTAACTTATCTTTCTGTACAGACAGGCTAGAATAAGTAAAAAACTTGACCCTGTATTTCCAAACAGCTCAGATGAGCATACAAAATTCGGTATTTTTAAATGTTATTCCCCATTAGAATAACATGAGGGAGAAACCTTAATTTCGAAGGGGTTGAAATTTGAAAATGTGACTTTTTGGAATTTTCCTTGGGGTTTGGGCCCAAGACCTACAAGCGTGCAAAATTTCAACTCTCTAGCACTTCTAGAAGTGGTCTAGAATTCGTATCCCCCATGAATTACTTATGCGAGAGTATAGTATTTTGTAAATTGTTAGCGTTGTTTGATTTTAATATTGCTGTTGTGTCATCAGCATAGAGAAAAAGCGTTGAGTTTAAATTAAAAGGCAAGTCATTTATATAAATTAAAAACACCTATTTGGTATGAACCAAATTCCATAGTCATGGAAATAAGGCAAGTCTGCAAATGGGATCCTTATGATGAAACATTTCCTCTCCATTCTTTGAGAACGTGAAGCTGCATGATTGTATAAATGAGATAGGCAACTGCCTCAAAGGCAAACTCACATACATTTTATAAGTATATATTATGTAATATTTTTTCTGTAACTGAGATCAAATCAAATCAAATCAAAATCTCTTTATTCCTGAATTAATGTGTTACAAGTTTGTTAAAAATTGTGTGTACAGGAAAAATAATTCCCAAGTAGACTATCCGTCTGTGTTTGGGAATGAGTTGCTAATACAGCTATACACAGGTCCATAAACATTCAGGAGTACTTAGACACTTAATGATGATAGTAAATAAAAATAAAATATTAACAAGATCAAGAGAGAAAAAAAACCTAATTGCATCGAAACATCCAAAACTCAAATTTAGTGATTGTAAGTGGTATTTGGCAATGAAGGAAAAAAAAGTGATTTGGTGACGCATTAAACTGCAGAAATTTACGAGTACAACGATTTGAGTAATCCTTCTGATTTCTCCCCGCCTATATTTAAAAGCCAGCTCATGACTCTACGCTTAAACACAGCGACACTGTCACTCTCCGCCTCTCGAATATGTGAAGGCAAGTTTCTATACAATGTATGACAAACGTAATAAGGTATAGTTTTAAGGGTTGAATGGGAGAGTCTGGGAAAGGAAAAGCCGAAGTTAATGTTACTTCTAGTCAAATAACAATGTTGAACAGGGGAAAAAACCGAACATTTATTAAGTTT